ATCGACAATTCTCCAATTTAATGCTTAATATATACATAAAAATAAACTAAATTAATAAAGTTATCAAAAGATATTGTCTGACTAAAATTTTCCTTTACTACTTAACAATTTTAACAAATAGTTGTAAAAAGTTTTTGTCTGACTAAAACTAAAATTTATTATTGAGGAAATATTTTACGACACATACTTTTGTCTCAATGATATTGACTTTTACTACTAATACTAGAAATAAACAAAATCATACATTGTCTGACTTAAAATATCTATAACTACTTATAGTTAACTGATTAAAATTACGTCTTACTAAAAAAAAATTTCACCACTTGCACCACTATCACATAAATGTAAAGCGTCGTGTCCGACTGTAATTGACTTTTACTACTAAAATCAAATTGTCTGCCTAAGAAAAATTGAATTGTTTTCGAAAGTTTTTTATGCTTTGGGATGCGTTTTTGGTCATAAAAAAGGTGTTCCTCTACTCGGATCTGGGTGTCAATTTTTTTCTACACTTTTCGGTGTATTTTGTGCAAGAATATGCAATAAAATCTTCTGCCTAAGAAAAATTGAATTTTTTTGGAATGTTTTTTATGATTTTGGATGGGTTTTTGGTCATAAAAAAGGTGTTCCTCTACTCGGATCTGGGTGTCAATTTTTTTCTACACTTTTCGGTGTATTTTGTGCAAGAATATGCAATAAAATCTTCTGCCTAAGAAAAATTGAATTTTTTTGGAATGTTTTTTATGATTTTGGATGGGTTTTTGGTCATAAAAAAGGTGTTCCTCTACTCGGATCTGGGTGTCAATTTTTTTCTACACTTTTCGGTGTATTTTGTGCAAGAATATGCAATAAAATCTTCTGCCTAAGAAAAATTGAATTTTTTTGGAATGTTTTTTATGATTTTGGATGGGTTTTTGGTCATAAAAAAGGTGTTCCTCTACTCGGATCTGGGTGTCAATTTTTTTCTACACTTTTCGGTGTATTTTGTGCAAGAATATGCAATAAAATCTTCTGCCTAAGAAAAATTGAATTTTTTTGGAATGTTTTTTATGATTTTGGATGGGTTTTTGGTCATAAAAAAGGTGTTCCTCTACTCGGATCTGGGTGTCAATTTTTTTCTACACTTTTCGGTGTATTTTGTGCAAGAATATGCAATAAAATCTTCTGCCTAAGAAAAATTGAATTTTTTTGGAATGTTTTTTATGATTTTGGATGGGTTTTTGGTCATAAAAAAGGTGTTCCTCTACTCGGATCTGGGTGTCAATTTTTTTCTACACTTTTCGGTGTATTTTGTGCAAGAATATGCAATAAAATCTTCTGCCTAAGAAAAATTGAATTTTTTTGGAATGTTTTTTATGATTTTGGATGGGTTTTTGGTCATAAAAAAGGTGTTCCTCTACTCGGATCTGGGTGTCAATTTTTTTCTACACTTTTCGGTGTATTTTGTGCAAGAATATGCAATAAAATCTTCTGCCTAAGAAAAATTGAATTTTTTTGGAATGTTTTTTATGATTTTGGATGGGTTTTTGGTCATAAAAAAGGTGTTCCTCTACTCGGATCTGGGTGTCAATTTTTTTCTACACTTTTCGGTGTATTTTGTGCAAGAATATGCAATAAAATCTTCTGCCTAAGAAAAATTGAATTTTTTTGGAATGTTTTTTATGATTTTGGATGGGTTTTTGGTCATAAAAAAGGTGTTCCTCTACTCGGATCTGGGTGTCAATTTTTTTCTACACTTTTCGGTGTATTTTGTGCAAGAATATGCAATAAAATCTTCTGCCTAAGAAAAATTGAATTTTTTTGGAATGTTTTTTATGATTTTGGATGGGTTTTTGGTCATAAAAAAGGTGTTCCTCTACTCGGATCTGGGTGTCAATTTTTTTCTACACTTTTCGGTGTATTTTGTGCAAGAATATGCAATAAAATCTTCTGCCTAAGAAAAATTGAATTTTTTTGGAATGTTTTTTATGATTTTGGATGGGTTTTTGGTCATAAAAAAGGTGTTCCTCTACTCGGATCTGGGTGTCAATTTTTTTCTACACTTTTCGGTGTATTTTGTGCAAGAATATGCAATAAAATCTTCTGCCTAAGAAAAATTGAATTTTTTTGGAATGTTTTTTATGATTTTGGATGGGTTTTTGGTCATAAAAAAGGTGTTCCTCTACTCGGATCTGGGTGTCAATTTTTTTCTACACTTTTCGGTGTATTTTGTGCAAGAATATGCAATAAAATCTTCTGCCTAAGAAAAATTGAATTTTTTTGGAATGTTTTTTATGATTTTGGATGGGTTTTTGGTCATAAAAAAGGTGTTCCTCTACTCGGATCTGGGTGTCAATTTTTTTCTACACTTTTCGGTGTATTTTGTGCAAGAATATGCAATAAAATCTTCTGCCTAAGAAAAATTGAATTTTTTTGGAATGTTTTTTATGATTTTGGATGGGTTTTTGGTCATAAAAAAGGTGTTCCTCTACTCGGATCTGGGTGTCAATTTTTTTCTACACTTTTCGGTGTATTTTGTGCAAGAATATGCAATAAAATCTTCTGCCTAAGAAAAATTGAATTTTTTTGGAATGTTTTTTATGATTTTGGATGGGTTTTTGGTCATAAAAAAGGTGTTCCTCTACTCGGATCTGGGTGTCAATTTTTTTCTACACTTTTCGGTGTATTTTGTGCAAGAATATGCAATAAAATCTTCTGCCTAAGAAAAATTGAATTTTTTTGGAATGTTTTTTATGATTTTGGATGGGTTTTTGGTCATAAAAAAGGTGTTCCTCTACTCGGATCTGGGTGTCAATTTTTTTCTACACTTTTCGGTGTATTTTGTGCAAGAATATGCAATAAAATCTTCTGCCTAAGAAAAATTGAATTTTTTTGGAATGTTTTTTATGATTTTGGATGGGTTTTTGGTCATAAAAAAGGTGTTCCTCTACTCGGATCTGGGTGTCAATTTTTTTCTACACTTTTCGGTGTATTTTGTGCAAGAATATGCAATAAAATCTTCTGCCTAAGAAAAATTGAATTTTTTTGGAATGTTTTTTATGATTTTGGATGGGTTTTTGGTCATAAAAAAGGTGTTCCTCTACTCGGATCTGGGTGTCAATTTTTTTCTACACTTTTCGGTGTATTTTGTGCAAGAATATGCAATAAAATCTTCTGCCTAAGAAAAATTGAATTTTTTTGGAATGTTTTTTATGATTTTGGATGGGTTTTTGGTCATAAAAAAGGTGTTCCTCTACTCGGATCTGGGTGTCAATTTTTTTCTACACTTTTCGGTGTATTTTGTGCAAGAATATGCAATAAAATCTTCTGCCTAAGAAAAATTGAATTTTTTTGGAATGTTTTTTATGATTTTGGATGGGTTTTTGGTCATAAAAAAGGTGTTCCTCTACTCGGATCTGGGTGTCAATTTTTTTCTACACTTTTCGGTGTATTTTGTGCAAGAATATGCAATAAAATCTTCTGCCTAAGAAAAATTGAATTTTTTTGGAATGTTTTTTATGATTTTGGATGGGTTTTTGGTCATAAAAAAGGTGTTCCTCTACTCGGATCTGGGTGTCAATTTTTTTCTACACTTTTCGGTGTATTTTGTGCAAGAATATGCAATAAAATCTTCTGCCTAAGAAAAATTGAATTTTTTTGGAATGTTTTTTATGATTTTGGATGGGTTTTTGGTCATAAAAAAGGTGTTCCTCTACTCGGATCTGGGTGTCAATTTTTTTCTACACTTTTCGGTGTATTTTGTGCAAGAATATGCAATAAAATCTTCTGCCTAAGAAAAATTGAATTTTTTTGGAATGTTTTTTATGATTTTGGATGGGTTTTTGGTCATAAAAAAGGTGTTCCTCTACTCGGATCTGGGTGTCAATTTTTTTCTACACTTTTCGGTGTATTTTGTGCAAGAATATGCAATAAAATCTTCTGCCTAAGAAAAATTGAATTTTTTTGGAATGTTTTTTATGATTTTGGATGGGTTTTTGGTCATAAAAAAGGTGTTCCTCTACTCGGATCTGGGTGTCAATTTTTTTCTACACTTTTCGGTGTATTTTGTGCAAGAATAT